GTACACGTGACCGTAAAGGTAAAGGGATAAGCGAGGGGCAGTGTTAGGGCTTCGCAGTCGTGGGGCGGCCCTCCTGTTGAGGGAGGATGAGAGTGGGGTTGTTAAAAAGGGCACAGTCGTGGGGCGTGGCTCGCCTGCCTCTCATTGTGAGAGGGGGGTGGGCAAGCTTCAAAGTCTGGGGGGAAGGGACGAATTGCCACTTAGTGGTGGGGGGGCAAGTGACAGCGAAGGGCAAAGGTAAGAGTTTGGCGATAATAAGGCTTCACAGTCGTGGGGCGGCCCTCCTGTTGAGGGAGGATGAGAGTAGGATAGTTCAGCGGGCTTCACAGTCGTGGAGCGGCCCCCCTCCAGAAGGAGGACGGTGGCGCATTCCATATAACGGGCTTCAGTCGTGGGCCGTGTCTCGCCTGGTAGGCATCCGTAGGTATATTACATAGTATCCGAGTAATAGCGGTCGGGGTACGGCATAGTAGTAGTTCCCATTTGACACAGAGGGGAGTAGTAAGGTAGGCGCAGTAGTTGCCAGTTGTTCGTGCGCAAGCCATACTTGATACCAAAGCACAATGCGATGCGGTTGCGATGTGATGCTATGCGACCCGCATTCCAGCCTTCCAGCCCTTATGCCCCATGGCCTATGGCCGATGGGGCGGTCCTCCCAGAGGGCAGGCGCATGGCACACGCAGTCCCAGCTATGGGCTATGGGACACGCAGCCTTGATTAATTAAATGGGACGCGCAGTCTCGATTATGGGACACAGAGTCCTGGCAAATGGGACGCACAGTCCCTGTCATGGGACACGCAGTCCTGGCAAATGGGACGCGCAGTCCCTGCTATGGGACACACATTCCTGGCAAATGGGACGCGCAGTCTCGATTATGGGACACACAGTCCTGGCAAATGAGACGCGCAGTCCCTGTTATGGGACACGCAGTCCCGGCAAATGGAACGCGCAGTCCCCGCTATGGGACACACATTCCTGGCGAATGGGAGGCGCAGTCTCGATTATGGGACACACAGTCCTGGCAAATGGGACGCACAGTCCCTGTTATGGGACACGCAGTCCTGGCAAATGGGACGCGCAGTCCCTGCTATGGGACACACATTCCTGGCAAATGGGACGCGCAGTCTCGATTATGGGACACACAGTCCTGGCAAATGGGACGCACAGTCCCTGTTATGGGACACGCAGTCCTGGCAAATGGGACGCGCAGCCCCTGCTATGGGACACACATTCCTGGCAAATGGGACGCGCAGTCTCGATTATGGGACACACAGTCCTGGCAAATGGGACGCACAGTCCCTGTTATGGGACACGCAGTCCTGGCAAATGGGACGCGCAGTCCCTGCTATGGGACACACATTCCTGGCAATTGGGACGCGCAGTCTCGATTATGGGACACACAGTCCTGGCAAATGGGACGCACAGTCCCTGTTATGGGACACGCAGTCCTGGCAAATGGGACGCGCAGTCCCTGCTGTGGGACACACATTCCTGGCAAATGGGACGCGCAGTCTCGATTATGGGACACACAGTCCTGGCAAATGGGACGCGCAGTCCCTGTTATGGGACACGCAGTCCTGGCAAATGGGACGCGCAGTCCCTGCTATGGGACACACATTCCTGGCAAATGGGACGCGCAGTCTCGATTATGGGACACACAGTCCTGGCAAATGGGACGCACAGTCCCTGTTATGGGACACGCAGTCCTGGCAAATGGGACGCGCAGTCCCTGCTATGGGACACACATTCCTGGCAATTGGGGCGCGCAGTCTCGATTATGGGACACACAGTCCTGGCAAATGGGACGCACAGTCCCTGTTATGGGACACACAGTCCTGGCAAATGGGACGCGCAGTCCCTGCTACGGGACACACATTCCTGGCAAATGGGGCGCGCAGTCTCGATCATGGGACACACAGTCCTGGCAACTGGGACGCACAGTCTCTGTTTTTGGACACGCAGTCCTGGCAAATGGGACGCACAGTCCCTGTTATGGGACACGCAGTCCTGGCAACTGGGACGCGCAGTCTCGATTATGGGACACACAGTCCTGGCAAATGGGACGCACAGCCCCTGTTATGGGACACGCAGTCCCCGCGCATTGGAGGATGCCCCATGTAAATCGGAGGTGAGGGGGAGAGATCGAAGTGGAACGGATAGGTGGCAGTGTCAGGCATGGGGGTGGGGGGCTTACCAGCCACCGTGCAAAGGGCCCGCGTGACCCGCGTGTAGGCCATGGGCGGTCATAGGCCGCGCAGTGGAGGGCATTGGCGCGAGTGTTGCACAGCATAGGCGTGGTAGCAGCCGCATCTTCACAAGTGTTGCATCCAGAACATGGCGTGCCACCATTGCTAGGGCACGAAGCGGTAAAACATTACCCGTGCCTTAAACGACAGCCGTGACAATCCTCCTCCTCCTCATCCTCCACCTCCTCGTTCACCTCCCTCCTCTCGTTTCCGACGGCGATCGGAGTATCGACCAGAGCACGCGCACGCCCCACGGCCTCTCCTTCCAAACGCCGTCGGGACAGAGGTGCCACGCCGTGCGCGGCCGAGTGCGTGCTCGCACGCTCAGGCCGCCCCGGGGTGGGAATAGCAGATCCCCCCACGCCGCAGGCCGAGCCGGCGTAGCCTCGTGAGGCTACGCCGGCTCGGCCTGCGGCGTGGGGGGAGAGGTCTCGGGAGGCGCCCCCAATAGGGCCAGAGCAGGGAGGGGGGGTGGAGGAATGCTGCGCGTCGCCGATGCCTCGGCCGCGAGGTGCTACCTTTCGGCCCCATCTGCTCCCGCCCGCATCCGGGAGGCCCTCCTCCCGCCCCACATCCACCCTCTCAGAACCAAAGTCTGCTCAACACTGGTCCCCGGGCCCCTCCTGGAGCCCATCCTGGCACGTGCACCGTCCCACTGTACCTCTGACCGCTCCAGAGTCCGAAGTGGCCCCCCAGAGGCCGAGGTCGAGGAGAGGCCTCCCGCGCGGCTCTTCCGAACCCTGCGAGCCATCTGCTCAAAGCAAGGCGCAACTGCCAAAGGGCCCGTGGGAGGCAGACCAACATCCGCTCAAAATCGGTACCCGAACTGCCCGCAGGGTCCGATCCTAGCACTTTGTTCGAGCTGCGTCCAGCGGCGGCCACGAGGACCTCCAAAAACGAAGGCGTCGACGTCGACGTCGTCGCCGTCGTCACGGCAAGAGGATCCAGGTCTGCAACCCGGCAACTGTTTGCCCCAGGGTCCTAACACAGTCCCCCGATGCTGAAACTGAAATAGAACGCCGCGGATAGAAGCATCAGAGAAAGCTGAATAACCATCCACGCAATGAGGACCGATACAAACGAGGCCCTTCAGCAAGCGCACCTGAAAAAGAAATCTGCCAGGATAGGGCTGCTCAAAAAGCTTAAGTCGGGCGTGCCTCCCTACCGGCGGATCTTGGACGACAAATAAAACATAGGAGAATATGCCCAAACATAGTCAATCATACTAGAAACATCGTCCAAAACATTTTTTTTACTATTTTTGAATATCCCCCCAGTAGAAGGACAGGCCCGACTTCACAATAAACGTCTGGGAGTCTGGGATCGTTTTATTCAACGCAGACTGCAGTCGTCGTGATCTTTGTGGGCCCCGGAAACGGCAGGGCCGTTTTTTCACCGTTTCCAAAAAAATGTCCCTTGAAACTGGAAACGGCCAAAAAACGGCGACCGGAAACGGCAACAAAAACGGCTCCAGGATTGGCACCGGAGCCGGAACCGGTCCAAAAACGGCGACGGAGCCGGTAAAACAACGGCGTCGGAACCGGCAAACAAACGGCAAAACGGAACCGGTAAAAAAACGGCCCTGTCGTGTCCAGGGCCCACTGAGGTCGTGCTGCCGCAAAAGGAGCGCCACACAGCGGACGAGGAGGCTGTTCTCTGGCCACGGTAGGCCTCGACCGCGGGTGGGCCCCACCGACCTACGCTGAGGTCGGGCCTGTCCCCCCACATGCTCAAACATACAGTAGGGGCGTTGACCTAAGGAACCCTAAATAAGGAACGGGGCCCCTTTTCTCCGATAAGTTCAACCTCGATTTCCGATGGAAAACCTGCGGAAAACCCACGGTAAACTTCGAAACGATCGAGGAACACCGAGCCCCTTCCCAACGAAAAGGGTTCCTTCCCCAGGGCCCCGACCTGTAGGCAGCAACGTCGTCCCGAGACCGTTTTTGGGCTGTCTTTGCAGCATCCCTCCCGTAGAGGGGCAGGCCCGACTCAAACCTACGTCCAAGGATCGGCCCCGAAACCGGAGCCCCTCCCGAGCCACAGGTGGCCTTCATTTTTCACCGTCTTGGCGGAACGGCGGTCGGGGTGACCTCATCTGAGGGGGCCCTGGGGCACACCAATGACTACGCACGAATCCCAGGATTCCTGGTATTTTCTGGCATTTCTGGCGTTTGCGTCTTCCCCCCCCGGCTGTTCCTATTTTCCCATCCTTTCTTGGGAGCCGACACTTACTTGTGTCAGTGTGTCGGGTCGGGCGAAAGGGGGGATAGCAAAGGGGGGGGTTGAGAATCAGCTCACGTAGCTGATATTCTCGGCGCCTCCCGGCGCCGGAGGCGGCTGTGCATCGAGGAATGGGCCCCTCAGTGGGGCCGAAAGCAGCTGCATGCAGCACATTTCGTAACCCCCCCTGTCCCAATCCCCCCCTTTCGTCCGGCCCGAGTGTGGTTTCGTCATCCCCCCCCCGCTGTTCATATTTTCCCATCTTTTCTGGGAAATCGACACCTAATTAGGGTTGCACACAAACCTACCTCGCTTTTGACCACCCTCGCTTCCAAGAGATACCAAGCGATGTCAAACTACGGCCTGTACTGGTCAGGCCGCTTGACGAGGAGGCGCGTGGTATGACTTGGTTTCGCCTGGAAGCGAAAGCGGGGTAGGTAATTCACGCTCTGACTAATTGTGTCAGTGTGTTCTTTCCCTCCCGATCCTCGCCCCTCGACGTCCCTCCCCCGGAGAGCCGAGGAGGGCGCCGTGGCCAACGGGCTGACCTCCGACTTCTGCTCCACCGCGGGCGGCCCCTCGTCGAGCAGCCGCTCCTTCTCGAGCAGCCTCTTGGCGGCGCGCCAACAGGGGGGAAGGGGGGAGGGGGAAAGGCTCCTTAGAGGCGCCCCGCTGCTTAGAAGGCCTCGACCTGACGTCTATAGAGGAGGCCCGCGCCTTCTGAGAAGCAGGGGTGCTCCTGAGAAGCCTTCCCCCCTCCCCCTGCCCCCCTCTGCGCGTTGCCGAGCCTCGTCAGGCTCACCAGCAGGCCGTCCACGAGCGCTTGCATATCCTTCCCGTACCTCCACTTCTTTGCACCTGCAGGCGCGGGAGAGAGGGAGGGAGGGAGGACGCGATCAGTGCGAGGCGGGCATTCATCCATGTCATCTGCCCTGGGGAACCGATGTATTGGGACCTCAGAGGGCGACCCAAATAGATCCTACATCCATATCCACCGCCTGCCGATGTCCCCGAAGATTGATCAACCAGGCGGTGACTATGGATAAATCCCCGGCTCGGAGTAAGAGTTGGCGGCGCGCACAACGGGTTGGAGGGAGGGTGGGGAGGCTTCCTGAAAGAAGGCTGCTTCTTAGAAGGCGCCGGCCTTACATCTGTAGATAAGGCCCGCGCCTTCTAAGAAGCAGGGGTGCGTCTAGGAAACCCTCCACCCTCCCCCCACCCCCTCTGCGCGTGGCCGACATCTTGCCTCAAGCAACCGGGAAACTTCCACCGCACACGACACAAGGGAGCCTGGGCACCCGGCCTGCCCAGGCGCAGAGACCTTGCAGCGTCGACGCCAACGCCGATCTGCAGGGGCGAACCAATCATGCACAGGAGCGGCTGCCTTCACCGACGGGCCACGCGCACCACGAGTCCTCGGTGGCAACTCATGAGAGCCTCCCATACCATAATGTCGGCGCTTGCAAACCGACGCTGGTCGACGCTAATCGGCGCTACATCGACGCTAGGCCCCTCTGCGCGTGGCTGAAAGAGCGCCGTCGACGATCAGAGCCTCTCGGTCCATCTAATCCGTCGGCAAGACATGCTCGAAGCCTGCGGATCGACTATATGAGGCGGGGTCGCTGCGCGGCGATTGTGCCGCGACTGACCTGCTGTTAGGTCGGGCCTGTCCCCCTACAAGGGGATTCTGGGCGAAGAATAACAGATACGGAAAATATTACAAACATGCTGAAACATAGTCAACAACAAATCGTCCCCAGGCTATTTTTTGATTATTTTTGGACCTGTAGAGGGGCAGGCCCGACTTAAATTTACTGGCGCAATGACTCGTGGACCTTGCAGGTGGGCAGGAGGGATTAGGAAGAGCTGAGGGTCCCAAAACGGTGCAGTGACAGACAGTGCGGTGACCTCAAAATCCCCAAGTATCTTACCGCACAATTTGTCACCGCACGGTTTTGGGACCCTGGATGCCCAAGTCGCCCGAAACATCGACCCAAGTCCCGAAACTGTGAGGTCACGCCGAATCCCCACTGACTGACTCACTACACGGTGGGGTCACCACAGCGTGTGGGGGCCCAGAAGGGAAGGGCACTGGCCAACAAGGAAGCGTGAGAGATCCCGGCATCGCAAAACGAGATCGGCAGGTCTGCTGACTGGTGAAGGCGGGCATCGCCAGGGCGGGAAACGCGGCGCCTGCGTGATCTGCTCGCCTCTTCACAGGGAAGGACGAGGAGGCCCGAAGCAATGCAAAATGCCCCCTAACCTAGCCAAGGAGGCGGCGGAGGAGGTAAATGTTGCCCTAGAACGGCGAGGATCGAGGAGGAACTTGGGCGTTTCTGGTCCTCTGCGGCGCCTTGGGAGGCGTTCGGGGGCCAGGATCCGAAACGGAGGCCAACCTTACCTCGACTATCTCCTCTCGCTCTTTTCTCCTCCTTCCCCGTCTCGTCCTCCTGTTTTCCTTCCTGCTCCTCCTGCTCCTCTGCTCCTACTTCTCCCTCGTCCATTCCGGCTCCTCCCTCCTCGTCATGAGATTCCTTCTCCCTGTAACTCCGTCTCCATCGCCTCTCCACCTACTCCCGCACCATACGCAACTTCTGCTCTTGCTGCTCCTCCTCCTCCTGCCCCATGCCCTCCTCCTCCTGCCCCATGCCAGTCCTGCTGCTCCTGTCCAACGCCCAACTCGTCCAACCTGAAAAACTCTGAGGCGGCGGGCAGTTCCGCAAAGAAGATACTCGGCGTGTGCTCCGCACGCGTGAAGATCGACATACATCGCAAGAGCACCATCGTGGTGGCACTCCGGGTGCATGGCTAAGATGAGGATTTTCAAGGATGCAAACCGATGAAGCAAGGCTGACCCCCTCTGAGCTTCTCTTGTGCAGAATGCAACAGGGAAGGCGTACGTAATTACGAGAAGCAACAGGCGCGTCTCCACTTGAAGAGGGCTTCTCACTGCGCGTAGGGGCCCAATAACTGGTTTGATCTCGCTTTGCAGGCTGCGTGTGTTCTCGCTGCCAGCTATGTCAAGCTACGAGGTGCAACCTACGTGGTGCCATCTGCGAGGCGCAGTACATGCGGGGCAAGCCATGCTGTGCATGCGAAGCGGTGGGTATGTACTTATTGGAACCTATGTGGTGCAAGCTATGCGTGATTGTGGACAGGCTTGCAAACGCACGGGCTCCTGCTGCTCCTCCTCCTCCTCCTCCTCCTCCTCCTCCTCCTCCTCCTCATGGTGGGCACGAGGCGGGCATGGGCGACCACCCGCCGAACATTAGAACATTGCAGATCTCGCACGGAGAAGGGCAGGTGGCGGACGCGGTCACCCACCGAGCGACGGCCTGAAAATGCCAGCTTAGAGGGGCACACGCACAAATGCACACACAAACACACAGACACACACACGCACACGCATGCACGCACACACACACACACACGCACACGCACACGCACACGCACACGCACACGCACACGCACACGCAAACGCGCAAGCGCACGCACACACACACACACACACGCACACACACACACACTCACACACAACCACGCACAACCACACACAACCACACACAACCACACACACACACCCACGCACACCCACACACACAACACACAACCACACACAACCACACACAACCACACACAACCACACACAGCCACACAGAACCACACAGAACCACACACAAACACACACCCACCCAAACACATACACACAAAAACACACACAGACACAAGCACACACACAACCACACATAACGCACACCAACACACAAACACACCCAACACACACAAACCCACACAACACAAAACACACACACACACGCAAACACACACAACCACACACAAACACACACACAACCACACACACACACACGCAACACACACACAACACACACAAACACACACAACCACACACAACCACACGCAAACACACACAACCACACAACCACACACACACACACGCACGTCCACCCGCACACACACATAAACACACAAACCCACACAACACACACAAACACACACACACACCACACACAACCACACACCAACACACAAACACACACAACACACAACCACGCAAACACACACAACCACACACAACCACACACCAACACACACACACACATACAAACACATCCCCCCACACCCCCACACCCCCACACCTCCACACCCTCGCCCCCGCGCACACGCACACGCACGGGCACGCGCACGCGCACGCGCACGCGCCGACGCCCACGCGCACGCGCACGCGCCCGCGCCCGCGCCCACGCGCCCGCGCGCCCGCGAGCCCATGCGCCCCCGCGCCCGCGCGCCCGCGCGCCTTCGCGCCCGCAGACATGCAGACACGCAGACACGCAACCGCACAGACACGCACTCACGCACTCACGCGCACACACGCACTCACGCACACACGAGCACATGCACGCACGCACTCACGCACACACACACACACACAAACGCGCACACACGCGCACACACGCGCACACACGCGCACACACGCGCACACACGCGCACACATGCGCACATACACGCACACACGCGCACACACCCGCACACACACGGACACACACGCACACACACGCACACGCACACGCACAAACCCGCACACACGCGTTCACACCCGCGCACACACACGCGCACACACACACACACACGCGCACACACCCACACGCGCACACACACACGCGCACACATACACACACACACACTCGCGCACACGCACACGCGCACGCACACGCGCACGCACACGCACACGCGCACGCACACGCGCACGCACAGACGCACGCACACGCACACGCACACACGCACGCACACACGCACGTTCACACACATGCGCACAAGCACGCACACAAGCACGCGCACGCACACGCGCACGCACACGCACACGCACACGAACACGCACACGCACACGCACACGCACACCCACACGCACACACACGCACACCCACACGAACACACCCACACGCACACACCCATACGAACACCCCCACACGCACACGCCCACACGCACACACCCACACGCACACACCCACCCGTACACCCACACGCACACTCACACCCACACGCACACGCACATGCACACGCCCAAGCACGCACACGCATACGCACACGCACACGCACACGCACACGCACACGCACACGCAAACGCACACGCACACGCACACGGACGCGCACACGCACGCGCACCCGCACACACACGCACATGCGCACGCACACGCGCACGCGCACGCGAACGCGCACGTGCACGCGCACGTGCACGCGTACGCGCACGCGCACGCGCAAGCGCACAGGCACAGGCACAGGCACAGGCGCAAGCACAGGCAGAGGCACAGGCACAGGCACAGGCACAGGCATAGGCACACGCACACGCACACGCACACGCGCACGCACGCACGCACGCACGAACGCACGAGCGCACACGCACACGCGCACACGCGCATAGGCGCACAGGGGTTCAGGCGCACAGGCGCACAGGCGCACAGGCGCACAGGCGCACAAGCGCACACGCGCACACGCGCACACGCGCACACGCGCACACGCGCACACGCGCACACGCGCACACGCGCACACGCGCACACCCGCACGCCCGCACGCCCGCACGCCCGCACACACACAGGCACACACATACAGACACACACACAGACACACACACAGACACACACACAGACACCCACACAGACACACACACAGACACAGACACACACACACATTGACACACACAGACACACACACAGACACACACACAGACACACACACAGACACACACAGACACACACACACAGACGCACACACAGACACACACAGACACACACACACAGACACACACGGACACACACAAACACACACGGACACACACACACAGA